TATAGTTGCCCCCAACTTTTTAGCAATATCTCCACCTCCTTCAAAACGATTGCATCTAAAGGGGGAGGCTGCCATGTGAAGTTTCCAATCTCCCATACTGAAAAATAAATTTTTTAATTTAAGAAACACAATACTTTATGGAAGGTTAAGGTCAAATAAACGCTTTTCTGGCAAACGTATTTATATTGACACCAATTTTTGCCCTTTACTCATTCTCAATAATGCCTATAAAATCCCCAAATTCTAGAAAAAAAACTAACCAAACCCAACAGAATTGATATCTACACGAAGCTGTTGTGCAAGACATATGATTACATCCTCTATTCTTCTCAATGGGGACCTAAAATTGAAATGAAATTCAAAAGAAAATTAAAAAAAGACTAGCCTTGCATTTTGGACAAGGTTTAGTATTTGAATGAATCCAAGAAAGATTTTTGTGGTCTGAAGAAATTGATCTCATCCACATTGCCAACAATGCACAATTTATAGGTTCATGCCAACTGTAACCACAATCAGAGCAATAAATGTTGCCACAGGTACAAGCCACGCGTGCAGAATCACTCCAAAATTGAGTTAGAGAATAGAGGGTACAGCCAACGCCTGGACATGGCTTGATTTTTGTGTTCCACTGGAAAGGTGGGAATTTTTGAATTTAATTTTAAATTTATGTACCATAACGTAGCGTTGAGCTTCTTGCTGTCGATATCGTTGATGAACGCTTGTATCTTTGCATAGTCTAAATAATGTAAACCGGTCCAGAAGAACAGCGCAATTAGTGTCTGGGCATTGGATGATGCTAAAAAAGACAAAGATAACATGAAAAAAAACCAAGAAAGTCGAAACCCCAAATAAAATTTTCGTGTCTATTCGAAAGCCGTAGAAGCGTTTTTGACTTACCAAGTATTCTCGGCAACAACTTTTTGTCTGATATACGCATCCCAACATTCAGTACAGAAAAGATGAGCACAATTCAAGCCTTGGACTGCTACATGTTCATCATCGCAGAGAATACAACTCTTGCCTTTGGATGAGTAAAGTTGTTGAGGATCTGACTCTTTGGGGTCCTTAGGGTTGTAGGCACCACAGAATTTAGCGGGGATCTTGCAGCCAGCATTAACGTATCTAAAAAAGAAAGCTTTCAATTTACGCTCTGTTTCCCTCAATCACCTTAACACAGCACTGTCACAAGACCATTTACATTCCTGTAACAAAGCCCAACAGACTGGCAACGGCTTCTCAATGGTCGCTTGCAGTGAAGTTGCAATTTTATTCATCCTCTCTTGAAGGTTGTCGACAGTTAGTATTTCGAACTTAAAAAGAAAAAAGTCATTAAAAGTGTTAGAACTTTTAAAACTAACGTCAGCTTTTGCCGCTGAACCATGTGGAGGAGCCATGAGTTTATAGAGAAGAGAGCGGCCACAAACAAGGCAGCCAATATGAGTTGAGGAAGAATGACTAGATTGCACATTTGTTGCTTTTATAGTCTACAAATTAATAATGAAAATTCTGAGATCCATTGAATTATAATGAAAATTGAATTGTAAATATAGGCAAAGCGGCAACCCCTACTCTCCGGGATTACCGGCAAAGCTTTTAAAAATTAATCCAAGGGCTCAAATGAAATTTTTTAGAAAATTTAACAAATTTGAATTTAAAATTTCTGAATTTAATTTGGCATAATGTTTGGCGGTAAAATTCATTTTAAAATTTAAGCTTTGTTTATTTTATTGATTTTTTCAGTCCTATTTAATTGTTCGGAAAAACTTCATTTGGAAGAGACTAAAATTTTCTTATTTCAAAGCTCAATAGCTATCTAAATAATTTTTGATTTTGGAAATATTTATGGATTTATAACTATTTTTTCATATCGATTAATTTTCACTATTTTTCAGAAATTTAGATCAATCATTATTTTAATCTCATAATGCAACAATCACCTGATAAAAACGATTCTCTTAGTCTTTTGGAAAGCACTAATCGTGATAGCAGTATGTAATTAGCTGTTTATTCTTAATCACTGTTTTTTAGATTTTTCGACCTACCAAGCCGATCGTGAACAACTTGAACGTTTGAAGTCACATAATCGTGTTTTGGAATGCGAATTTGCTGATCTTCGTCGACAAATGCCAATTCTTAAGGATGCAGAAGGAAAGGATGTTACCGCTGAGGTTTGAGCAAAGAGGAGGGTTTAGGTCTCCCTTATTTGGGTTATGGGTTGTTCCGGTTTTTCAGCTTAATTTTTCGATATATTTCCAAAAATGTAACGCACTGGTCATTGTAATTACTGTCCGTTTTTTGTTCCTCATTTTCAGTTTGTTTTTATATTTTTTGTATTTAGTTTGCAAAACTTGCTCGCGAGTTGCAAAAATACAAGGATGAATGTGATAATTGGGCAGACCAGCATCGCAAATTGCTTAAGAAATACGACGATTTTGAGCAGAATACTATGGAAGAAATTGGTATTCGTGACAAACAATTGGAAAATTTGAAGAAAATTGGATTTGAATTGGAAGATGAAAATGCTCAGGTTTTCTCTTAAATTTTTAATAAAAATTATTAATTTTTAAATTAAGCTTCGTGAAAAACTTCAAGATGAAATTGCAAAGAATAAACATGTGGAGCAGGCAGCAGTTGGTGGTCATGGACTGGAACATTCTCTTGAAGAACTGCATGTAAGCAAAATTTTAATTTGCACTATTTTACATAGGGGAGATAAGTTGGGGTCAAAGGGTAGTCGAGTTGAGTGAGGTATGCTGGGAACGGCTTGACGGGGGCCGAGATTATCATTATTTCATGTCTGGTCAATTCTATTTTACACGTCCGTCCACAATTTTCACGACAATTATTAACATCTAATTGATGATTAAAATTTTATTTTTCAGATTCGCGATCAAATCCGCAATAGCATTGCAAAAATACCAGGTTATTCAATTTCTTTTTTCTCAACTTTATATCATTTAGGCTTGTCGTCTGCTCAAATCGCTGCCCAATTCAACGAGTCTTTTGCTGATTTAAATCCAGACGATGCTGAACAGATTGCCGCTCATATTTTTATGATTCTCGAGAAATTGGAAAATAACACTCGGGCAAATGAAGAACTTCGTTCTGGAATTTTTGCTTTTCTTTCACAACATGGCTTTAATGCTGATGAGAAGAAATTTGCGACGTTTTCTGGTGTTATTAAGGAAATGGTTTGAAAATTTTTATTTTATTAATAATAAAAAAATTATTCAAATTAGCTTCAAAAACGTCAAAATGAAATCCGTGCGGCAAATGATCGTTTGGGAACAAAATTTGGTGGTAGCATTGGTGGCAAAGAATTTGAGGCTTGTATGCGTCAACTCAATCAGGACTCTCTTTCGTTTTCAAATACACTTCCTGGAGGTGCTGCTGATGCGGTTTTGGCTCGTCAATCTATCAATGTAAATTATAATTTTTTAAAAGTTTTTTGAATAATGAAGATGACTTTGAATTTACGGGATTGCTTAGGCACACCAACCAGGGGCTAGCCAAATTCTTAAAGAAATTTTTAGTGATTAAAACCAATTTATTCTATAAATTTTGCTGCTGATGCGATTATCTAACAATAAACAGTTTTCATCTTTTATAGACGACAATATTCGAATCTGAAAATGTGACAATGGAATCAGTTGCCGCAATTCATATGGCAGAACAAACAGCTAATATTGCAGAATCCTGTGTCAAAATGTTTGATCGTCTGCGTGGCACTGCTGAATTCTTTTTGCAACTTTTGGAGACAATTTCTGAGGGAGGAGAGTCTGAACTTGGGAAAGAATTGATGCAGAAAATTGAGTCACTTCGTTTGGATCTTAACAAATCAATGGGAGATGCACGTTCTATTTTGGTTGAAGCGAAAGGTTTTTTTGAAGATTTTTGAATTTTTAAACAAAATAAATTTCTCATTTAGATGCTGAAAAGAATGCCCGTTCATTTTTGGAGCAAACTTTGCATCAAGTTTCTGTTATGAATTCGACTGTTTATAGCACAATTTCCAACCAATCAAGAATGGTTGTTGATGTAGGTACTAGTGCTATGGAACCGGGAATTTGTGTTATGGAACCATCTCCGGTTTGTTTTTGGGGTTTTTAGAAGAAAATAATTTTGTTTAATTTTTAGAAGTTGCCTCAAAGTAAAGAAATTATTGAAAGTATTTGTGGGGAGCTGAACAGAATTTATGATACTATGTTAGTTTTGCTAGAATTTTTTGAAAATTTTTAATCAAAATTTTTAGGTCTGGCGTTTGCACAAGTAGCAAGAAGATTGCACCAAAAACTGGGAAGGGAACGTCTAAAAGTGGGACGTCAACAAGTAAGAAGGGTAGCGGTGTCAATAAGAATAAGAATGATGGACAATTTAAGAAACCAAAGAATGAGACTAAAGGTGACAAGCGTAATTGAAGTAAATACATATATATTTTTGGGGGGAATTGGTTTTAATTTTATAGTGCACTTGAACTGTTTGTTTTGACTTGCATTTATTTATTTTTTTGGAATAAATTATTCTTTTAAATTTGATACATAATTATGAATTTATATATTTTCTTTAACTTCCTTTAATTTTGGAGGGAAGTATCTGTTGTAGTTTGGGGATAAGAATGTGTGAATTTTTTATTCTTCAATTTCACTTTTTTACAGGCCTTCCATAAATTTTTTCCTTTACCTTAAAGAAATTTCAAAATTTTAATAATTCGCGATTTGGCAAAGTTATTCTGTCCGAATTTGATAAAGTTAAAAATCATACATAAAACAAATTTGACAAAATATCGATAGGGAGGGGATTTTTTGTTGAAATATTTTTTTAATTTTTAAGATTTCTTAATTTTAAGTTTTTTACCGTTTTATATTTCCTTTTTTATGGTTTTTAACGGGGGTTTTCTGCTGTTAAGGGGAGTGATATTTTTTGTGACAGATTTTTTAAATTTTGATTTTTAAAAATTTATTTTTTAAGAATTAAATATTTTTTGACCAAGAACACTTAAAATGAGTACTCAACTTTATATTTTATTATTATTTTTATTTCTACTATTTGTGGCAGCCTTTTCTTTGATATGGTTGGTTATTGTTTAAAAATTAATTTAAATAATTTTCAATTTAAGTCTTGCCCTTCTAACTCCATGGACTAAACGTGTAAAGTCTTATTTTTACACAAAACGTTATCCATTTACATTATTTGGAATTTCAAAAACTCCTTTTGTTGGTTTATTTGTTGAAGATTTAAATACACAAAAAGGCTTTAGAAGGACTGAACCGGAAATTTATTTGTCTTTAATTATTCCGGCATTTAATGAAGAGGTTTTTTTTATTGTTAATTTGGCCCTATCTTAAAAGAAGGGTGGAATCGTTTTTTCATTAACCGCAAGGAAAGGAAAAATTTGGACGGATGGACTCGGACAGATAAAACACACCTGTGTTTCTTAGTCCGCGTTTGTCTGTTTTTGTGTCCGTCCCCTCCGTGTTTTGTCTGTCCGAGTCCATCCGTCTCAATTTTTCCTTTCCTTTTTTTTCCTTTCAAGTGATGTAAAAAGCGATTCCGCCCTTCTTTTGGGATAGGGTCATTTATTTTTAAATTTAATTTTAACAGCTTCGTTTACCTAAAATGTTGGATGAATGTTTGGATTACTTAAATAAGAGAGCTGAAAATTCTGAGGAATTCACTTTTGAGGTTTTTTTGGAAATGTATATTTTTCTAAATATTTTTTATTTTTTTTTTGGTTATTATTGTGGATGATGGAAGTACTGATGCAACTGTAGGTAATTAATTTTTTGTTTTTTAATAATAAATTTTTTAAATTATGATTAAATAGTAAACAAGTGCTGGGTAACTTTATTAAGTGGTACATTAAGGCTGATACCGGGAACTCTATTTACTTAATTATTTTTTTAATTGTCCATAGCACACAATCAAAAACTTAAGGAATAACCCGATATTGGGTTTGTAAGACAAAAATATTTTTTACAAATCCCCCCCCCCCCTTTCCCACCCCCTTAGACGACGATCATCAGCTTCAGCTTGTTTATTATAATAGAAAATTTTTCATCAAAAAATAGAAAGAAAATCTTTTTTTCCAGACGTTGCCCTCAATTATTCGAAACAACAAAATCAAAATAATCCAATTTATGTCCTCAAACTTGTCAAAAATATCGGAAAAGGAGGTTCAGTTCGTGCAGGTGTTTTGTGTGCTAGGGGACGTTTTATATTATTTTCTGATGCGGATGGAGCTACAAAATTTTCTGATTTTTCAAAATTGGAAAAAGAAATGTTTTCTCTTTGTAATGGAGAAAATGAAGAAGAAAAATTTAATGGAGAATCTTCAATTGATTGGACACATCCAGCTTTGGTTGTTGGTTCTAGAGCACATTTGGCAGATGAGGCGATAGCTAAACGTTCACTTTTGAGAACTGTTTTAATGTTGGGATTTCATGCTATGGTTTTTCTTTAATTTTAAAAATTTTTCTGATATTTTTTTATTTTTGTAGGTTTGGGTATTTACAGTTCGGACAGTCCGCGATACACAATGTGGCTTTAAATTATTCAGGTTTCAATAATTATTTAATTTATAGGAGTTGGGTTAGGTAATTTATAATTTTTTTAATTTAGTGGAATTACCCTATTCGGCTATTTAGAGGGGTTGGACTAGAACTTAAAAATTTTGTCCTATATTATGGATGCTGGTAGATAATCAATTGCAGTTTTTTGTCCCAGACTTTGAAATTGAGAAGTCATAAGACTTCAAAGTTTAAGTCCCGTATACCAAGGGCGTATCCAGGGGGGGGCTAGAGCCCCCCCCCCCGAAATGGGGGAAAGGGGGAAAAAATTAGGAGAAGGATGGTCGAAAAAGTGAAATTTTTTCGCCTACAACCCTCAAATTTAAAAAAATTTTCGCCTGCGGCGCAAAAAAAGGAAGAAATCTGACTTCTTGAGCTCCAAAATCCTCAAAATTTTTGCCTGCGGCGCTAAAAAGTGAACTTTTTTGGCCTACGGCTCTCCAAATTCTAAAAAATTTTCGCCTGCGGCGCTAAAAAAGGAAGAAATCTGGCTTCTTGGGCTCCAAATTCCAAAAATTTTTTGCCTGCGGCGCTAAAAAAGGAAGAAATCTGTCTTAAGGACCCCGAAATTTTCCAAAATTTTCGCCTGCGGCGCAAAAAAAAAGTGAATTTTTTTGGCCTACGGCCTTCTAAAATTCAAAAAATTTTCGCCTACGGCGCAGAAAAGATGAAAATTTATGTACAAAAAAATTTGCGTCCGAAACGCCAAGGTAAACGCCAAAAATTTTTGCGCCCACCTAGTGTTAGCCCCCCCCCCCCCCCCCCCGAAACCGACCCCCTGGATACGCCCTTGCCGTATACTGTTATTCTTTCCTTATTTTAATATTTCTTTTTCAATTTCCAGTCGTGCTGCCGCCGCCAAATTATTTTCTCAACAACGAATTGAAAGATGGGCTTTTGATGTAGAATTAATTTATTTGGCAGAACGTTTAAATTTTTCTATCGCTGAAGTTTGTGTTGAATGGGAAGAAATTGACGGTTCTAAACTTACTCCTTTATTGGCTGGATTACAAATGGGAAGAGATATTCTATTATTATGGTTTAGATATACTTTTGGGTTTTGGACTATTTCTCAAAATTAAAGGAATTTTAAAAGAAAATGTTCAATTTTTTTGAACTCCTATATTCACTTGTTTTATTTGATTTTTATTTAAATTTTTTTCTTCTAAGGGAATAGCCAGTAAATTGAAAAAACCCTTATTTTTCTTTCCAAATTTAATTTTATGAGCCTAGAAATTTTATTACTCCAATACTTTAGCGGTGAATTTTCGACTTTTTTGACACTCACATTTGTGTGTCAAATATTGAGTGTGAAACAAAGTTATAGCTGGTTCCTTGCGCCTTTTTCGTTATACTCAACCACTTCCAAAGACTGAAACTTTGAACGGCCATAACTCGACCCAAACTAATTTTGCAAGAAAACCCGCATACACCAATACTAATTCGAGGGTCCTCTATCGAATTGGTACCAAAAAATATATCAAATTCGCAGTTCCAGTAAAGAATGGTTCCTTGTGAGAATATTTAAAATTGCCTGTTTTTTTTTCGTTTCCTAATTTTCTGTTAACAGGGTTTTTGCCTGTCACATCTTTTTCAATGCTCTTTATTTTCTTTTTTTAAATTAAAAAATTGGATATAAAATATTTTTATATTTTTTAAAATAAAGCTTTAATTAATTATTTTTTTGAATATTTAAATGTTTATTTTTCCTTTATTTATTCTCTATTTTTATCGAATTAATTTAATTTTTTAGATAAATTTAAAAATTAAATTAATGGATTCTAGCAAAAAAAAGGGTAAAGGAAGACCAAAAACTTCAGATGATGAATCGGAAATTTCTTGGAGAAATGTAAAAGATGAAATAATGTCTTTGGAAGAGGAGGAAGTTGTTAATGTAAGTTGGTATTTTTATTTTAAATTTAATTTTTTGTTGGCACTGTTGGGTACTTGTTAGTTATTCTTGGTAAAAAACCCTCGATTTCATTGAAAAGCCACCTTCCAAAAATAGAGTATAGGTACCCACTATTGTGTTTTTAACCTTTAAGATTTTATTTTTATCACAACTGACAATTATTCTAAAAAATTTAAGACTTTCGATCCTTTACCTTTTGCTGACGGACAATGGAATGTTCACGAATACTGTCGCCAAATTAATTTGACTGTTGTATCTCAAAGCGTGGACAGATTGGATTTAAGTTTTGATTTAATTAAAGTTGAGGCCCCTATTGCAAATGCTTTAAGGAGAGTTTTAATTGCTGAGGTTAGTTTTAGAGGGGATTTTCCCAGAAGTTCTACAAATTAATGTTTTAGGTCCCAACTATGGCCATCGAAAAAGTTTTTCTTTACCAAAATACTTCTTGTATACAGGTTTTGTTTTGAATTTTTCTGACTTTTTCTTATTAAATTTAAGGATGAAGTTCTTTGTCATCGACTTGGATTAATTCCTATTTATGCTGACCCAACAAAATTTGCTTTTCCTCCTGCCACAGATCCATCCAAACAACAAATAAATACTGATATTTTGGATGAAGAGCCTGCTGGAGATGCAAAAAGAAATTTAATATTTAATTTACATGCTGTCTGCCCAAGGTTTTGAAATTATATTTAATTTTGGTTCACGGGTAATTTTTCTGAGTGAGTAAAGCCGGTCTAGATGTACTTTTATGGTCGCTCTGTCTCATTAGACTTTTTCATTCATGTTAAAATAGAAAGTTTCATGTTGCTTCTTATTTTATCTTGACTATCCTTTCTGAATGATACCAAACTTTTGAAGTCATATCTAAAATCTTTAGTTACAGCGTTCTTAAAACGGGGAAAATGCTGAAAGGTGACTTGTATATACCCTTGCTAACAAAGGATATTTTGGTTAAAAATAACTAGGGACCAAAATTATTTTAGGAAGTTCATTAAATTCGATTATTTTTTAATTTTTATAATTTTAATTAGCTCAAAAGATGAAAAAGTCAAAAAGAAGCGATCTGTTGCAAAAAGCTCCGATGGTAGTGATTTGGGAGATGGGTGTGTTCGTGAACCTGGAGACAGTGGGAATTGGGTGCTTTACACAAGTGCTTTTAAATGGGTTCCAATATCTTCTCAACGAACTCAATTCAGCACAGATCCACCTAGAATGGTACATAAAGACATTATTTTGGCAAAATTAAGGCCTGGACAGGAAATTGAAGCGAGGTTTTTTTGGAGATTTTTCTTTGAAATTTTAAATTTCCCTAGATGTCATTGTGTCAAAGGCATTGGCCGTGACCACGCAAAATTCTCGCCAGTTGCTACTGCCACGTATAGGATGCTTCCTCAAATAAAATTGAAAAGAAAAAATTTTACTGATGACCAGGCAAAAAGGTTACAATCTAGCTTCTCTAGTGGAGTTATTGGAAAGGATGAAAAAGGAAGAGGTTTGATTTTGGAGGTTATTAAATTATAGAATATTTTTAAAGTTTATGTAAGGGATGCACGTTCTGATACTTCAAGCAGAAATATTTTTATGCATGATGATTTGAAGGATGCGGTTGAAATGACAAAGGACAAAACACATTTTATTTGTTGGTTTTTTTATTTTTTTAATTTTGGGTAAGCAAGTTAACCGGTGGTTAAATATGTGAAGGTTAAGGTCGTCACCACATTTATTCACAAGACAATGCCAATAGGGTAAATTATTCGAATCAATCTGATATGAGAATTTCCCCTTATGAAATGAGATCCGAACCCATACGTTCCAAAAAGAGATAAAAATCTAATGGAAAGTTTTGTGATTGTTTATCAATTGTTTCGGAGATGAAACTATTTTCTGAACTAAAAATTTTCAAAATTGAGTGAATGATTCTGTCGAGATTCTTTCTTGATTTTTTTCAGAAATAAAATTTATTTAATTTTAAAAATCAAATTTCCCTATAATTTAATTTTAAAGTCACTGTTGAATCTACTGGTTCAATGCCAGCACACCAATTAGTTACTGAAGCTTGTGAAATAATGAAAGACAAAGCTGACTATTTGCGTAAACAGCTTGAAGAAAAACTTGCATTAATTTGTTAAATTTAAAAGTTTATTTATTGTTGTTATTTATTTATATAAATTATATAAAAAATAATTGGAAAGGATCAAAAATTAATAAAATTATGAGCAGAAAACTAGCCTCTATAATGAACCAGCCAAGACTACAATCGGAGTTTTTTGCGACATACAGTCCTCTGCCATATTTTATCTGGTAACTCAAAGGATGAAAAAGGAGTGTATTATTTTGGGCGATTTTGGGTCATCGATATTCTGGGGTATCCTGTATGTCGCGAAAAACTCCGGTTGTAGTTTTTTGTGAGATGATTGTTTTCTTTTAATATTTATTTTATAAAGGAACAATTTTTATAAAAATTGAAATTTTTTTAATATTCATAAAAAATAGTTAACGTTACACGTTGCTTATTTTAAATTTAATTCCTTGTTTAAAGGCTTGTTATTTTATAAAAATATTTTTCTATTTATGTATATTTTACTTTATAGTTTTCTAAATTTATTTTAATCAAAAATGACTTCACGTCCTCTAATTTATGGCACTTCAGGATTTAGAGCAAAAGCAGATGAACAGCTTCAATTAATTGTATATCGTGCTGCTTTTTATGCTGCTGTCAGGGCAAAGTACGGAATTTTTTGAGAATTTTATTTTTCTTTTAGAAAGTTAGGGAAAGCTGTTGGGATGATGATTACAGCCTCGCATAATCCTGGATATGATAATGGACTTAAACTTGTTGATCCGAGTGGACGAATGTTGGCGATGGAATGTGAGGAAGAATTGACTAAAATTGCGAATGGGACAGAAGAGGAATTTGAAAAGTTTAAAAATGAAGAGGTTGATTTTGAAAGATTATTTTTAAACAATAACGAAGCTGACAAAGCCACAAAAACAAACTAAATTTATCTCTATATATAATGTTATTAAGAATTTTTGTCCTATTTCGTTACGGTCAGATTTCTAGTCATAATCCTTATTCACTACAATTTTAAAAAATCAAAGTTTCGCCCTGCAAGTAAACTCTGGTCCACATAAAAAATATTTTTCTTTTCTAATTTTTAAAATTAGATATTTCGAAGGTTTCGTGTCCTAATTTTGGTTTTATTATTTTCTCTTGGAACAAAGCCTGTTTCAGAGCGAAACTGTGATTTTTTTGAAATTAGTGGTTAAGGGTTATTATTAGAAACCTGACCGTAACGGTATACGACAGAAATTTCTAAAAAAAATTATAATTCGTACAGATTCAACAAATCAAAAACAATGAAGGAAAGGACAATCAAACTCCAATAATAGTTATTGCAACAGACACCCGTCCATCATCTGCTATTCTTTATGAAGAAGCCGTTAAAGGAATTAAATTATTGGGGATTTCTGTGGATATTAAATATTTTGGTTTGTTTTAAATTTTTTTAGAATTTTTAAAAAAATTTTTAGAACATCATACAACTCCCCAGCTTCATTATATAGTTAGGGCAATAAATGAAAAGAAGCCTGTGGACGATTATATTCAACAATTTCGAAGGGCTTTGGAAAAGTCTAGAGAAGTAATTTTTGAATTTTCCTAAAAATTTCTAAAATTTCTAAAAAAATTTTTTAAGTTCCTCAATTTCGAAGAAAATTCAAATTTAAGTCCTCTCTATTTGGACTGTGCTAATGGAGTTGGTTCTCTTTGGATAGTAAAATATTTGGCAAATAATGGATTTATTTGTAAAAATGGATTGGATGTTACTAAAGAAGGGGAAGTGGAAAATTTGGACAAAAATATTATTTTGGTTAATTTGTTTAATATAAATACAAATGATGGAGAATTGTTAAATAATGGGGTAAATCTTTTAATTACGAGAATTTTTTCGACTCATTCGTAAGCCAATAAACGATTTAATTAGAAAACAGGCCTTGGATCGACTTGTACTCTGTTTATCCTTTACCCAGATTTTTTTCAATTTTAAAAGGAAGGGCCCTCGTTCGAAGAAAGATCATTGAGTAGGTTTAGGCCCTAAAAACATTCCCCTCTTATGTTACCACGGGTCCTTCCCTTTAAAATTAAAAAATAGATTTTTGGGAAGGGAATCAGGAAAATTAATGTATTGACGTTTAACTGTCCTGACATTGAAATTAATTCTTTTCGTCTAAAAATAGTTTTTAGTGTGGCGCAGACTTTGTAAAAATCAAAACTTCTTTGCCTGCCAATTTCCCAACAGACTTACCTGTCGGAACTCGTTGTGCTTCTTTTGATGGAGATGCTGATCGTTTAATTTATTTTTATCCAAATTTGGAAGGAAAAATTTGTTTACTCGATGGGGACCATATTTGTGCAATTTTTACGAAATTTATTAATGAGGTAATTTTTATTAAAATTAATTAAATTGAATTATTTTTAGCAATTAAACGAAGCAAAAACTAATGGAGAATTAATTAATTTGAATTTTGGTGTAGTTCAGACTGCTTATGCTAATGGAAATTCTACGCGTTATTTTAGTGAGAAATTGGTAAGGAAATAAATATTAGAGGGAAAAATCAGAATTTTTTTTCAAAATTAAATTCTGATTAAAAAAAAATAAATGATTGACGGCAAGCAGAAAAATTAATATGAGACTTAAATAGGGATGGGGGATATTAATAAATTACCCAGAATTTTTTTGCTGAATATTATCAGAATTTTTTTCAGAATTAAAAATTATAATTAATTTTCTTAATAAACTCAGAACATTTTTAATATCAGAATTTATTTTTCAGAATATAAATTCTAATTTAGAAAAATAAATGAAAAATCAGAACAATTAAAATATTTTTTAAATCAGAATTAAAAATCAGAATTTTATTTTATTTTTTTTTCAGAATATAAAACCATTGGTTACCAAAACAGGAACTAAACATTTGGAAGAAGCTGCTCTTAATTATGATATTGGAATATATTTTGAAGCAAATGGGCATGGAACTGCTTATTTTAGCGATAAATTTTATAAATTAATTAAAGAGAGTGAAAATGAAAAAGAAAAGTTTGAAATTTAATTTTAAATTAATTTGAAAAATTTTTTTTCAGAGAACAAGTTCCTCGTTATATTAAATTGTTGTCTCTTTTTTCTAAACTTGTTAATGAGGTAAATATTTTTTGTTTTTTTTTTTGAAAAATAATATTTATTAGAGAAATGACCGAGATGAGATCTCGATCAAGAATCACGGTTATCGAGATCGGGATTTTTCGAGGTCTCAATTCTCGCAATACACTCCTAGTCCTGTCTCTAATCTTGTCTAAATTCATTTAAAATAAATTCCTTTTTTTAATTTTCCCCTCAAAAATTTCTAGGTAGATGGCGATGCCATAGCTGATTTATTAACTGTTGAATTTTTGCTTCGTTATTTTAATTGGACAATTCAAGATTGGGAAAAGAATACTTATAGTAACTGTCCAAGTTTTCAACTTAAAGTGCCTGTAAGTTTTTTTCGAAGGTTTTGAATAAAAATTAGAAATTTAATTTTAAAAAATTCAAAATTCTTTTAAAGGTATCTAATCGAAATCTTTTTGTCACCCCAGAAGATAATGAAACTAAATTACTTCAACCTATAGGAATTCAAAACAAAATAGATGAATGTGTTTCTAAATTTTTGAATGCTAGAGCTTTTATTAGGTTTTTTTTTAATTTAATTTTTCTAAGATTTAATTAAAAAGACCTTCTGGAACTGAACAAATTGTTCGTATTTATTCTGAAGCAAATTCTTTAGAGGAGGCAAAACAACTTGCTGAGGAATTGGAGAAGATAGTGAAGGCAGAGACTTTAAAAGAGTGAATGAATATATAGTTGAATTGAAGGGATTATTTTTATTTTTGGACTTCTATTTTTTCTTGGCAATTACTCAATTTGGATATTTTGTTAATTTAAAAGGGTATTTATTTTTAATTGTTTTTTGACTTTCCTAGTATATCTATTAGATTAAAATTTTGCTGTTATTGCTCGGTACTCTATTGCCGTTTACTTTCCAGAATCAATGTCTCTTTCACGTCACAAGGCTCATAATGGTCAAACAAACCTGCTTAATCTCCTATCTCTTTCACTAAATTTTTCTGGTATTTTCGAATTTCTTAGTTTTATAAAAAAGGGATAAAGTGATAGACGGGAAATGTTGACAATTATTTGCCGTGATTTAAGTAAGTAAAAGAGTCGTGGCATTTTGACGTAAACGGCATTACTTATTTTGCAATATAAATTGTTTTTAAAAATATTATTTGCTCATTTTTCTTTAATATATTAAAAACGGTGTTTTGTTGACTTAAACTTTTTTCGACTTTTGTTATTTTTAAATTTTGTTTTAAAATTCATTTAAATTTTATTTACTTATTTCCCCCAATAATTTAATTTTCTGTGATTCCTTTCCTTAATTCATATCTTTTTTTAAAACTTCAATTTTTAAGTTTTACTTCATTTTACCTTTAAATATAAGAGTTTATTAATTTTTTAAGATAATTTAAGACGATTATTTTTCTGGTTTTTTCCCTTGTAACTTTTCCTTGGGAATATTGCCCTTTTTGACAGAAAAATTTAAATATTGTTTAATTGAAAAGACTAAATTACTTGTTTTTTAAACTTATTCTCGATCTTTTTCTATTTTTTCTTTAAAATTTTCCTCAAAACTCAATTTTTGTTTTCGACCAATTCCTTGTTAAAAACGTTCTTTAATTATTTTTTAATTTTTTAGTCAGTTTATATAACTGATTTATTTTTTTAAATTTAATATACAATTTTTAAAATTTTTCAAAGTAATTTTGGGTTTATTACTTCTCGACAACAAAAAAATTTAAAAAATAAAAACAACTTTGTTTTGTCTTTAAAAAATGGAAAAAATAAATAATTCCTCCAATTCTTTAATTCCCTCCTCCAACAACAATACCCTCCTCATTCCAACAAATTCCTCCTCACAATTTATTTTAAATGAGGATCAGTTAGACCAATTATCTAACCAATTAAAGTTGTTAAGTATTAATGATGTGGATATCAACAAAGTTTTGAAAAAATTAAAAACCCTCAAAAAGGAGGTGGGGAGAACTTTTTTTGAAAATTAAAAAATTAAATTAGCTTTTGAAATTTATTTGGTTATATGTAGATTAGGGTTACCGTTTTGTGTCGGGCCGACGGTCGAGGCAATTTTTTCGGGCTTGATTTTATTAAGTCGGGCCGACGGTCGAGGCACGTTCGGCCATATATCTTAGACCCGACTCGATCTTTCGGTCCGAGTCGGTCCATTTTTGCAACCCTAATGTAGATGTTCATATAATTGTTGCGATTTTTTTAATTTTCTGACTTCAGCCAAAAACACACTTATTGCCAATCAAATTTTGTAATTTTTTTAATTTGAAATCCCAAAAAATTACACCCATCATCTTTTATAAAAAATATTCTCTTTCATCTTCCGTTGAATCTTTCTGGGAAAAAAGAGGAAAAAAATAACAAAAAAATTATTTTAGCAACTTCCATTGACAAATCATGCCTTTATTGAAAGTAATGGTTTACTTGAATTTGTTCTTTCACAAATGAGAAATTTTGGACTTATTTTGCCAATTAGCTTAGAAAATTATAGGTAAAACAAAATTAAAAGATTTTCGACTTTCTTATGAAAATATATTTTCAGAAATTCTATAGATCAAGATTTCTACCTCGTTTACAATACTCGTAAACAAATATTACGTAATAAATTACTTGTTATTGGAGTTGACAGTAAAATTACTTCAAAGCAAATTAATACGATTCTCGAATTAATTAATGTTGCTGACGAGATGGTTGATAATGGTATTTATTTATGGGGGTAGTGATGGATCAGTATAGCTCCGATTCAGTCTATGTCTAGAAGGACTGAAAGGATTTTTCTTGCGATTTTTTAAATCTTCATTTACCCTTTAACTCCAAACTAACGTTAAACTTTGACTGGTCATAACTAGGCCCAAAGTTATTTTGTAAGAAAACGGATATCACTTTGCAATAGGAAATCGAGGTTCCTCTATCGAATGGTACCAAAAAATGCCAAATTCGCACTTACAGTAAAAGATGGTTCCTTGTTAGTAAACTTTGTGTAATAAAATTCTTAGAATGCCCTGAATCTCTTCTTATTAAAATTTTATCTTTAAGAATATTTTCTTGCCAGTGGTGGATGTGATTATATTTTAAGCAAAATACAGACACTTACCTCAATAGCTGATTTGGACGATACAAAAAAAGTTAATCGAAAACAAGTAACTGCAATACTTGCACGAATGAAGGTAGCTGATGAGCAGCTCCGAAATAGTAAATTTTCTTTTAGATTACCGAAAATGATTATAGATTGTCAAGGCGGGTTTAACGAAAAATCTAAGCGTCTAACAACGAGGAAAAATTAAATAAAACTCTCTCTTTCATAGGCACCGCTCTTTTCATTTTTACTGAGTTATGTCCGCCTTTACCACTCTACTCCCATAAAATCTGTTAGGTCCGAGGGTTGTCTGAGGTTTGCCTAATTGAATGAGCACAGGAATAATAAGTAGGAAGTTACAATGTCTAAAGTGCATTATGTCTAAAGTGCACGAAGGAAACTAACCGGGCCTATTTGATCTCACTAGTACGATCTCAAAGCTAACACCGGCTTTTATACTACAGTAATTCGATTAAATATTAAAAAATTTTTATCTTATTAAGAATGTCTTGTTGAGCAAAAAGGAGAAAATTTTGATGTTGGTTATTTTTATAATGGAAATTTTGGTTTTGCTTTTGGTGAAAATTTTTAGGTAAACATTTTTTGGCATATTAATTTTTTTTGAAAATAAAATAATTTTCAGTAATGGATTGTTTCAATTTATGGTTTAAACTAAAACGACAATTTGGATCGAAACAATAATCAATTTAATTTAATCAACTTTTTTTTATTTAATTAATCACCTACTTATTAATTTAATGTAAATAAGAAAACACTGTTATTGTGTGCTAAGAAATTACAACTCTCCACATGATTTTTTCTGTTCTAGGTTCCAACCGATACCAGGGCTGGGCTAATTTCATAATTCGTATCTTTCGCGTATTTTTTGGCATTTTGTTTTTTATTTTTAGATTTCGCTCAGCAACGATATTTTGGTTGTCGATACTCTGGGGTGATCCTATTTTATAATATTCGCTCCTTCGTATCAGAAGGAGGGAATTTTTAAGATTTTTTGTAACAGTGTTTAATTTTGTCCTCGTGTTTTTTTTCAATTTTCGTATAATTAAATAAATAAACTGAACTCTCTTAAATTTCTTTTTTGCTTATTTATGGTTGACATTAAATTTGTCGCTATTTATCTTTTAAATTTTCCATGTCTTTTTTTAAATTATTTTTTAATAATATTTAAAGATTTTCTATTAAAATTTAAAAAAAAGAAATGTCAACTCAAAAATCTGTTCGTTTTGATTTAAACGAATTACAGGCACAAATTAGTGAAGACAAAGGCAAAATGTTCTTTTTAAAACGTATTTTTTTTATTAAATTATTACAAAATTTTGATTAATGAATTGGAAAAAGAGTGAAGGCAGAAACTTTAAAAGAGTAAATGCCTAAATATACAGTAAGGTGCAAAAGTTTGGAACATTTTGTTGTAAATTGTTTAATCAATAGTTTTTCTGTTCATTTCTCAGTGATTGGTCTGGATTAAAAATTTTTAAATTAACTATAAGAGTCCTCTATAAATTGATAATAAAAGTTTTTAAATATCTTTAGATATTCTTATATTTTACCCTTAAAATATTTTATACCCAAAAAATAAGAGGTGCAAAAGTATGGAACATTTTTGATTTTGCTGTATTTTTATGCAAAACTCCAAAGAAAAAAATCTATAAAATTTTCATCGAAAAAAATATTGATATTGTAAAAGAATAAAAAGAAACTAGGTCCATATCGATACTCTAACCTGAGATCATGACACCTCGAAAATCAACGTAAAATGGGGGGTAAGTCACTTAAAAAAATATTTTCGACCCCTTATGGGTTATTCTGAATTTTTATTTTGGGCATATCTTAAAGCCCTTGAAATTTACTACAAGATAGCATAAATCTTGTTTTCCAGAAAAAATCCAATCGGGAGATGAGGACCGTTTATTTTTCGAAAGGGCATTCTATGGGGCATTTAGGTGTTTTTTGTTGTGTTAGAAAGATAAATGGTCCTGATCTCGCTAACAATTTTTTTCTGAAAAATTCTATTATTGCTATCTTATAGCAAATTTAAAGAGCTTTAAGATGGGCTCAAAATAAAAATTCAAAATTATCCTTAAGTGGTCGAAATATTTTTTAAATGTGAAGAATCCCGTCTTACGTTGATTTTCAGGTTTGCGAGATCTCTACACTGAAGTGAGATATGGGCCTAGTTCTTTTTTATTTTCCCTTATTATCGATCATTATACCTGCCTGAATTTTTATAAATTTTTTTGATTTGATTTTGACATGAAACTACAGCAAAATCAAAAATGTTCCAAACTTTTGCTCACCCTATTTTTAGGTATAAAATATTATAAGGGTATGTAGAATATAAAAATTGCGAATCTAATTAGAAACATCTAGTGTCATTTTATAGAGGACAATTATAGTTAGTTTAAAAAATTTTAATTCAGACCATTCACTGAGAAATGAACGAAAAATTATTGATTAAACAATTTAAAAGAAAATGTTCCAAACTTTTGCACCTTACTGTATGTAAATTGAAAGTCTTTCTTTTTTTTAAATTTTATTTTTGAAATTACTCGGGATATTTTGTTAATTTAAATGGAAATATTTATTTTTAATTTTTCATATACATATTATAATTAGAGAGACCGGTTTCTTCCGGGCTCGGTGGCCGGAACCGGGTATTGCTGAAAAAATCCGATTTTTCCGGGCTAACCGGTTTTTCCGGTTTTATTTATCCGGAAAAACCGGCCCGGGTGCGATTTTGAGTAAAAAACCGGATCCCGGGCCCGGTAATTTTGAAAAGTTCGAACTCTAATTATAATATTGAAATTAAGTTTTACATATTCTGGTGCTATTGTTTTTTTACTTTCAGGAAACCACGCCTCTTTTCCTTCCATTTTTTTATTTCACCCCTTTTTCTTTTACTTTTTATCCATGCCTTCACATAAACTAATGCTATTTTATTTCCAGCCATTTTCGCATTTTTTATTCATTATAAGTGTAGGGGGCGTGGCAATATGTAAAAAGGCAAGTTATGACTTCGCGCCTACTCGGTCACACGCCTACTTGGGTCGTACCCAAAAAAATATTACGTAGCAAAATTAAAGGAAACTAAGATGAAAAGGGGCGTGTTCTCTGAGGGCGTAAACTATTTGAAATATAAATATAGTTTTTAAACCATTATTCTTTAAAAGGGTTAAAAACAGCTGAAAATTATTTTAAAATATTTTAATATATCAGCTTTGTTTCATCTCTTTAAAATTATTATTCCGTTATGATGTTCTCTACATTGATAGCTTATTCCTTCTTTTTTTTTATCATTTTTTTGGTTTAAACTTTGTTTTTTTATAAACAATTAAATTTTATTTGGGTAATACCAAGGCTGGCCCCCTTTTTTCTGTTCGCCTGACCATTTTGAGCTTTTTTGCTTGTAATTTACGGCCCTATACGCAGATCGTGCCGGCTTGATATTTTTTCCTTACTTTTTTTACTGGGTATTTTTCCCAAGTTTTTATGTTTGTGATGGTTGCCATAAGGAAAATCTTTTAATTCTTTCGTGTTCGCCCGTGTTTTGTCTTTCCGTCTTCGTCCATGCGAACATCCAGAATTAACAGAAATATAGGGAATGATAGCAAGAAGAAATAAGTCACCATCTTTCCTTACGGCAAAATCACAAACATCAAAAATGTAGAGGAACATGACCATTCTGAACCATTCAAAAAAAGTAAGGAAAAAATATCAAGCCGGCACGATCTGCGTATAGGGTCTAATTTACAATGTATCATTCGAAAGAGCTGTTTGAGCTGAGTAGAATGATACTATGATCGGTTAGATTTAATGATTCTGAACAAAATTATGAGGCTAAATCCTCGATGGATATGCTTTTTGTGATGTTGAAAGGGAGGACAAATCTATAGGAGGATTGTTTTTCTGTCAGAAACAATTTAAATATTTATTTTAAAATTTTGTTCTTTATCTCCTTTTGAAAACAAAATTACCGTATTTCCTATATTAGAGCCCCACCCTCTGTTAGAGCCCCACCCTCTAATACAGCCCCACTTTGGAGGATAGTTGAAAAATAGAGCCCCACCCTCAATTAGAGCCCCACCCCAAATACAGCCCCACCTAAAAAATATTGGAGGAAAAAATATCAGAATAACTTTTAAGATGTATGTATTAAGAGAGTTAAGGAAATAAAGGGGGATATCTATGATTTCGTGATCATTGAGGAGGAGGGATCATGGGGATTAGGGATGAAAATGAGGGATTAATCCCGTTATCCGTCAAAATACTCTAATATCGCCTATATTCCTCTAAATTCCTCCTATTACCTCCAAAATCTAATCATTTTATAAAGGGTTGCAATCGTGTTAGGCACTTGATGATAATTCGCGAGATTATTAGAGATCTATTAGATATCTAATCAGTGATATCTAACCAAAATTTCTCTGGAACCGATTTAAGTTACGTAACTGCTATTTGTATTTCTTCAGTTCCAGTTCTGGAACCTGTTCCAAAGCTTTATCAAACAAATCCCTTCATATGCCTCCTAATACCCCTAGTCCAGAATATCCCTCATAATCCCTCTAAATCTCTCAATATAAACTTAATCCTCTGATATTCCCCATAATCCCTTAAAATCCATTTTTATCCCTCTAATCCATCAATGTCAAATAAAAGTCCCATAATATTTCCTTTAATCCGTCCAAATCTACCGATATTTAATAGATAATCTCACTCTCATTGAACTATTGGGACTATTTTGTAATTCATTGCTTAAAAAGTTTTGGTTTTTCTTGAAAAATCGAAAAATATAGATTCTCTTTCGATATTTTGCGGCTTTATCGACCAAACCCTCCGACTTATCTCTAGTTGCAATGGATACAATAAATGGGATTCTATCTCAAAAGAGGGTTGAAAAATAAAGCCCCACCCTCAATTAGAGCCCCACCCTTTAATACAGCCCCACCTTGGAGGATAGTTGAAAATTAGAGCCCCATGGGGCTCTAATATAGGAAATACGGTATTTGTCCTTTAACCTATTCTTGATCATTTTCACGAGTATTTTCTAAATCTCCTTTGATAAAATTTTCTCTTTTAAAATTTTCTTTTAAACTTTTTTTTGTTTTCGTCCAATTTTTGATTTTTTTTAAATTTATTATATACAATTTTAAAATTTTTCAAAGTAATTTTTGGATTCATATTACTTTTTTCTTGACAACAAAAAATTTTAAAAAATAAAAACAACTTTAATTTCATCATTTTGACTTTAAAAATGGAAAAAATAAATAATTCCTCCAATTCATTAATTCCCGATAACAACAACAATACCCTCCTCATTCCAACAAATTCCTCCTCACAATTTGTTTTAAATGAAGATCAGTTAGACCAATTATCTAACCAATTAAAGTTGTTAAGTATTAATGATGTGGATATCAACAAAGTTTTGAAAAAATTAAAAACCCTCAAAAAGGAGGTGGGGAGAACTTTTTTTGAAAATTTATTTGGTTATATGTAGATGGACACTAGAGAGAGTTTGCTTGCTTCTGTCTTCCACAAAATTTCAAATTACGTATTTTTGATGCTCTCATCCGCCAAAAATACTTCCCCCTAATACAAACCTAAATTTATAATTTTTGATCTTACATACCTAAATCCCAGAAAGTTTTGTTTGTCTTTTGACATTTGTTTTAAATTTTACTAAAAAATGTTTTTTCCCGTCTTCCGTTAAAACTTTCTTTTGAAGACAGGAAAATTACAAAAATATAAGAAATTTTATTTTTAGCAACTTTCACTGGCAAATCAAGCCTTTATTGAAAATAATGGGGTGCTAGAATTTGTTCTTTCACAAATTATAAATTGTTGCCTTGGATTTGCTTTCCCAATTAGAAGGAATAATAGGTAAATTAAATCAAAATTTAAAAAAAAATTAAAACGAAATTTTTGGCAACACTTTATTATTTATTTATTTATTTATTTATTTATTTATTTATTTATTTATTTATTTATTTATTTATTTATTTTTCTTTATTATTGACTGAGTCTTTTGAACATAAGTCTCCCCATAAGTCTTCACTTCTTCACATAAGCTTCGATTAAACGTGAGACCAGTCACATTTTAATTTAAAATTACACTTAATACCAGAACGATTTTTCGCTCTCATTTCCAACGAGCTCCTCTAATATCCCTCAATTCCTTCAAACCCCATAACCCTTCAATATTCTTCTAAATCACTATTATCCTTAAAAATCCCCCTTAATCCCTCCAAATCTCTTTAATCCCTCAATTTTTTAATAAATTATCGAAAATAGAACGAAAACGGGTTATTTCTGAAGAATTTTTCTTTTAAATTAAAAGCCACACCGCGAACAAGGGTGGACGCAATTGAAAAAGATTTTCCGCAATCGTATGCAATTATGTCCAGCCCTAACCCCTGCTTCGAAACATTTCAAAACCCGTGCAACCCCAGTGGCGCGAACTTTGAGGACCTGAAAATTTTGGTGACCCAGACTTTGCAGACCCGAAGTTGCGGACTCGACATTTGCGGTCCAATATTTTAGGACCGTCATTTGAGTAAAAAAGAAAATTAAAAATTTAGTTTTCAAATCATAGATCCGTAAAATTCGTATCCGCAAGTTTCATGTCTGCAAAGTACGTGTCCGTGTCCGAAAATTTAATTCGCAAAGTTCGGCGCGCTGCAACCCTACTTCGAAATGTAAAAGTAATTTCTAAAAAGTTTCAGACTCAAATCTCGCTAGATTTTTGAGTCTCCCACAACTAGTCAATCCATTTGCCAAAAATTTTAAATAATATATATTATGTACATATGAATATTTTATAATCTTAATTATTTTTTCAACTTTTCACATTTTTTTATTTTTTTAAACAATTTTTAGATCAAATTTGATCGTTACATTGAAATCTAATAAAGTGAGTACTTTTACTAAACAAATTGTATGAAAAAAATTTCGACAGTCTTTTGGGATTGTGACAAATAAATTTGCAAACCCTGCAAAACATTTTCTTAGCTAATTTCGGCCTGATCACGAATCCTAACTGAGTTTATCCAACACTTGATTTGATCCATTACCCTCCATCTCGTCCATAAATGTTTCTTTCATTTCAACATGTTGTCAAATGCTTATACTATCCGCTCATGTGTTATTTTGCAATTTTCCAAAATCCCTCCACATGGGCTCCCGTGAGGCCTATAGTTCACCAACATTATTTTTTGATAGCATTAGATTTCTTGAGATGCTAACAATGGCGTTGTTTTATTATTTACAACCATACTTGATGAAAAAATCAATTGTTAGATAAAATCAGTTGTTGGATAAAGCTGAGTCAAATTCGTGATCTGCACTAGAATTACCTTAGAAAATAGGTTTGCTGGATTTTTAAACAATTCATAAGTCATACCAAAATTAAAGATCATCTTACATAAAATTATTTTCTTAACTTATAGACTAAAGTAATGGATTCCAACTTTCTTAAAAACGCATACTTAAATAATCAAAAAATAATGCAACAACAAATAACAAGTAATCAACAAATAAATGACCAAAATCGCCAAATTCTAAATAGTAGGTTTTTGTTTCTTTTGGTAAAACTGCTTTTTCTTTGCGTCCATAACATTTTAGAGAGTTTACGATAAATGAAAAATTTCAAAAAAGCCTGAAAACACCCCCATATCTACTTCCAAGGATGTTATCATAAATTTATTATTTTAGACATTATTGGTGGAAATGAAGGAAACGTTTTTGGGGGTGGCGGTAATGCTTTTGTTGGACAAGCAGGGCCCAATTTTTTTGGTGCAAACCAAGGGAATGCTTTTGATGAACAAGCAGGGCCCAATTTTTTTGGTGCAAATCAAGGAAACGTTTTTGGAGGAGTTGGTGTGAATGATCTTGGTGGACAAGCGGGGCCCAATCTTGTTGGTGCAAACGGAGGAAACGGTTATGTTGGAGAAGGAGGAGGCAATGTTTTTGGTGGACAAGAAGGGAATGTTTTTGTTGGACAAGAAGGGCCCAATATTTTTGCTGCAAATGAAGGAAACGTTTTTGGAGTTGGAGGTAATGCTTTTGGTGGACAAGGAGGGCCCAATCTTGTTGGTGCAAATCAAGGAAACGTTTATGGAGTTGGAGGTAATGCTTTTGGTGGACAAGGAGGAGGAGGAGCCAATCTTTTTGGTGGAAATCAAAGAAACGTTTTTGTTGGAGTTCGTGGGAATAATTTTAGTGGTGGAGGAAAAGGTGAATTTATCATTATTTTATCATGAATTGAACATCATTTTAGACATTTTTGGTGGTCAAGGAGGGAATAATGGAATTGAGAATCAAGAGAATAATGGAGGAACTTTGGGTGATGGTTATTTGGATGATGGTTACTTTGCCAATGGTTTCATTTGAATGGTTACCTTTTGGTGAAGAATATCTTTTGTTGATTTGATGATGAATGGTTAATTGAATAAATTAAGCCATGTAAATACATTTGTTGAGCTAATTTTTTATGGATTTTCACATTTTCGGTTTTTTACTGTTGCCACAAGTCTTAGACTCATGCTAAAAATATGTATAGAGTAACAAAAGTTCTAATCATGATTATTGTTTTCCCTTATACATATAACGAACCTCTAGCACAAAGATGGGCCACTTGATCTTTCTATACAGTGGTGTGCATGTTTAGAACCACTGGTAAAATTATTTTTAAATCTTCATTAACTTTCTAAAACAATTCCAACAAGACAAATTGCTAATACAATTTTTATAGCATTTTTAATGAGCTTTTCATATATTGCTATTCCTTTCTCAAAATATACCTTATTCCTAGAAAATTTTCGTTTACTCAAACGCAGTCGTATTTTCATATGTGCAAATGTTTAAAACCACTTTGGGTTTTCCGACTTTATTTGGTCCGAAAATTCAAAAAAAATTCTGTAGACATTTCCATCGATACTGACATGAGCAGAGGTTCGAGATCTCGATGAAAAAAGTTACAGACTTCGTTTTTTTCCTTTTCTGCTCATGTCAGTATCGATGGAAATGTCTACAGAATTTTTTTTGAATTTTCGGACCAATTAAAGTCGGAAAACCCAAAGTGGTTTTAAACATTTGCACATATGAAAATACGACTGCGTTTGAGTAAACGAAAATTTTCTAGGAATAAGGTATATTTTGAGAAAGGAATAGCAATATATGAAAAGCTCATTAAAAATGCTATAAAAATTGTATTAGCAATTTGTCTTGTTGGAATTGTTTTAGAAAGTTAATGAAGATTTAAAAATAATTTTACCAGTGGTTCTAAACATGCACACCACTGTATAGAAAGATCAAGTGGCCCATCTTTGTGCTAGAGGTTCGTTATATGTATAAGGGAAAACACAATAATCATGATTAGAACTTTTGTTACTCTATACATATTTTTAGCATGAGTCTAAGACTTGTGGCAGAACAATAAAGTTCCTCATTTTGTCTAATTTTTAAATAATTTTTGTTAAACATTAAAAAATGAACGAATTAAATCAAAATTTTTTGCTTATTTTTATTTGACATTAAATTTGTCGCTACTTATCTTTTAAATTTTCCATGTCTTTTTTCGTTTTTAATTTTTTTTTAAATATTAATTTATAGATTTTCTGTTAAAATCTAAAAAAAGACATGCCAACTCAAAAATCTGTTCGCTTTGATTTGAGGGAATTACAAGCACAAATTAGTGAAGAACAACAAAGGCAAAATGTTCTTTTTAATATAACGGTAAATTTTAAGAAATATGAAAGGAATGGGGCACTCAAAATTCTCCCTACTCCCCATAATTATGAGTAGGAAACAAGGACAGTCAAAACACTGACAGTCGAAGCATGCTGACAGTTAACAGAAACTAGGCAGTCAACAGACCTACGGCATAAATATAATATGAGAGAATTATACAGGGGAACTTATGTTGAGTGCCGAAAAATTTCGAATGTCGCATCCCTTTCATATAGAGCCGAAAAGTTTTTCTGATTTTTCTTTTATTTTTTAGGAACGTTTCCCTGGATTTTTTGAAGTTCCAGAACGCTGTATTCCTTTCCAGTTTGACGACAATCAACAAATTCAACAAAATGAAGGATTTCCTCAAGTTTTAAAAAATGTTTTATTTAATGAAGAAGAGCAACAACAACAAAATTCTTCACAAAAAGAAAAAGAAAAAATTTTTACTAAAAGAGGACAAAAAAGTCTTTTTTCTCAACACTTTGACAGTTCAAAATTAAAAGGAAACAAAAAAGAAGAAAAGAAAGAAGAAGAACATTTAATTAATGAAGCAATTAAAAATTTGGAAATTATTGGTCTGGTTGAGAAGAATGAAAAAGCGAAATTTAGTGATGGTGGAAGTGGTGCTCATTTGGCTATGGTTAATTTGTTTAATTAATTTTTTTAAAATTAAAAATAGTCCATGAAATCCAATCTAAAGGGGGATTTTGCTACCCTTCAGTCACTAGGCTGAGACTTGTTGGATAGTTGGATACATTGAATAAGATTTTTGTCTGGGGACATTTTGATTCAAATTATTCCGCGAGCTGTTAAATCATAGGATTTTAACTTTGTAAGAAATTAACGTATCACGGAACCCCGGGCAATGTTCGATTCAACTCGTCGAAATCTTCAAATGTAATTTGTTTTTTGACATTCCTATTCGAATTTTAGTACAAAGTTAAAGCTCTGCAATGAGTGAGCTCTTGGCATAGTGACCTTTTCCTCAAGTTGAGTTGCTGACATTTTTTGTGTAGTTGCTCGCTTTATTTTTTAGTTGGGAAAAATAACGAAGCCTTGCACCTAATAGGTTTATGGTTCGAATCTCCTTAAGGGAACTTGTTTTATTTTTACAAATTTAACAATCCCAATTTTTCAATTTAAAAAACATTTTAAGGATCCAATTCAACAGGATTTGGCATTTAAATTTATGAAGAATATTCTCCCACGGAAAGAACAACAAATATTAAAAATCTTTGATCAATTTTCAAATACTAAAATTACAACAGACCCCCAAATTAATGAAAACCGAGAACAACAAATTGTTAGAATGTGTCGTGAACGTTTAGAAGAAATTCGCTCGCTTTATTTGGAACAAATGTTTTTTTTTAATTTTTTTGATTAAAAATTTAAAAAATATTTTTTAGTGAGGATACAACAACTGGCCGTCGAACATGGATTTTTGCTAAAGGAATTGTTGATATTTTTGTGAATGAAGCTTGGATTTTGGTTCGAAAATTTTTTTAATTTTTTAAAGGACACGCCCAAGTAGGCGCGCGGCCATAACGGCGCAAAGCCATGACTTGCTGAGAATTTCTGGCCCTTAGCAATTTTGGTACCAATCTTTTTAGCTCGATGGGAGGAATCGTTTAATACTAAATTTGGTAAGATTCAGAAATCTTGAAGAAAGTTATGGCTTTGTGCCGCTATATCCGCGCGCCTACTTGGGCGCCTACCCTTTTTCTAATTATTATTTCTTTTAATTTTAAAGATACCAATTCGTAAAGTTTTGGATGCTGTTAATCAACGAAGGTAAAGAAATTTTTTTAAATTTCTCCCAACATTTTTGTCTTTTCAAGTTCAACTACCCCAACATTGGATGATGTTGAAATTATTTATTTATGTTTACTTTGGACAGTTGCTCTGTTTTTGGAAAAACCAACACTTTTTAAGGCTCTAACTTCTGTCAATGCTTTTTGTGTTCGTTTAGCGGAGGTTTTTTTAATTGGTAATTTTATTTTAAAAATGAAAAGCTCTATTTGAAATTCTCATCATTCACTGGGCGTTTACTAGCAAAAAACTTACTACCCAGGTTATATGTTTTTTTTCATTGGATCTCCCATCATTCCAACCATATACCTTTCTATTATTCTTCCACCACTTTCTAAGGGGTTTGGTCATTCTCCTTCCTCTTTTTCCATCCTTGCCCAATTGCTGGTTGGGTGTTTTTTAAGTTGAAAAATTTTCAAAGAATTTTTTTGCTTTTAAAAGAAAGCCTTATATTTCATATAGAGTCAGACACTTTAAATAATTTTTCTAAAATTTCCCCTCTTAATTTAAGGTCCAGAAATATTTTGTAATGAAGCAATAAATGAATTAATTGGAATTATTTTAAAGAAATTTTTAATTGAATCAGCAAACAAAAAAATGTTAAAATTTCAATTGGAAGACACAATTGCTGGTTTGGATGCTTTTATGCCTTTGTAAAATTTTTTATTTTTTTAAAAATTAAAAAAAAATTATTTTTAAAGTTTTGTTGATTTACTTAAATGTTTTGAAGAATTTTCTAATGGAAATGAAAATTTTGGATTAATAATTCTTTTGATTATTTATTTAAATAATTCTCCAAAAATTAATAAATTAAAAATGGCACAAACACTTTGGTCGTTACAAAGAAATGTTGTTAGGCAAATGAATATTTTAATTAATGATAATAATGGAAAATTTGTGGTAAATTATTTTTTAATTTTTAAAAAAGTTTAAATAGGGGGTTACGCTTGGTTAGCTTCCTCCACACATGGTCCTACCCTATTATAAAAGATGTACCTTAAATAGAGGTGTATCTAATTTTTGGTGTATGCAAAAGGGGAGTTTCAAGTATCTAAAAAATTTTATAATTACTTAGCCTCATGTAAATTATTAAATTACACATAACAGTTAAAATAATAAGTAGGTCTATGAGGTTTGTGGTGTAGTCGGTAAGGCGTCAGCATTGGTCACGATAGGGTTGGGGTTCGAATCTCTGGTGGTGTTATGATTTTATTAACGATTTTTTTAAAGGATTTTCTATTAAATAAATTAAATGAAGAAGAAAATATTCAAGAAGAGGAAGGGGAAGACCAAAATATTATTCAAGAAGAAAATAAATTATTATCCTTATATTCAATTAATTTAAATCAAAAAATAGTTACAAAAGAAAGAAATCCATTCTTGTATTTAATTGCTACAAAACATTTGGATATTTTAACGAAGAAAAAGAAGGGAGGAGTAAATATTTGAAACAGAATTTTTATTTTATATGTAACGTGTGTATTTGGTTAATTTTTTTTGGTTAGAAAATATTTTGAAAAAATAAAAACGATAAAGAAAATTAAAACTGGTGTTTTTCCTAGGAGTTTTAACATTTAACATTTTAAATTTTAATTTTAGGAATTTAGTTCGTGGGAATTTTAACGAAATTTTAGGCAAATTTTATTTTTTTGCTACAAGATCAATTTTTAGATAGAAATTTTACTTTCTTGTACTTGCTAAAATGTTTCTGTTTGAACAGTCATTTTTCCTCATTTTTATCCTCTTTTTGGCAATGTAAAATGTGATCTAATTATCATTTAGAATAAATTTTTTCAGTTAAACAGTGAAAAATATTCATCCAAGTTTTAAAGAAGGTGGAATAGAAAATTTTAAGTGAAAAGTTGTTTCTACTCAAGAAATATAAAAAAACCCCCAGCAAATTTTATTTACATTCTAAGAGAATATTTCATAAAAAGAAAAATAGAGAGAGAGGAATTCTTAAAGAGAAAGATTTTAGAAAAAAAGAACAAGAAAGTTTTTTAAATAATTGTTTGGAACGATAGGAACATTTTGGGTTGGATTTGCCAACAAAATGTACATATATTTGTATTTTAAGAGAATATTTCATAAAAAGAAAAATGAGAGGAATTTTAAGAGAGAAAGATCTTAATAAAAAAGAAAAAACAGTTTCAAATAATTATTTGGCGTAATAGGAACCTTTTGGGTAGGATTTTTTATAAGAATAATATTAGGTAATAGGAATAATCAAATTTTCTATTTTTCAAATACATATCTTCCTTTCACTTTCTCTTCCTTCCTTTATTTTCGATTGACTTTAATTTGTTTTCTCCCTCTTCAGATTTTTTAATAATATTTTTTAATTCAATCAGAATCTTCTTCATTAAAAAACGTTTGGTTTCCAAAGTAAAAATATTTTTGATAATTTTCGATATAAAATCGTTTGGCGTATTTGTTGGAAAGGTTAAATATTCAGCATTTACTATCTGCAATAAAAATAAATTAAAAATTATCATTAGCTTAAAACTAACTTTTCTAGCAATCTCTAAATCCGTAAGGCCTTTGAACGGCACTTTACCATTTGTAAAAATTTCCCAATTTAAAACTCCAAAACTATAGACATCAGTTTTTTTAGATAAAATTTTTCTGATAAAAGTTTCAGGCGCAAGGTAAGGGATTGGTAATTTAGCTTTTTTTTCTACATTAATTTCTTCTTCATCTTTTAATTTCGTAGAAAGACCGAAGTCAGTAATTTTGATTTTTAAAGTTTTGTCCATCAAACAATTCCTAGCTGCTAAATCGCAGTGGATAATATTGTGTTCGTGAAGATAATCGACACCATTTGCTGCATCTTTTATCAAAATTAATTTTGAGTAGTTTTTCAAATTTGTATTTAACTTCAAATAATCCAATAAACATCCTGAACAAAATTCTAATACAAGTAACATTGGTTCTTGGTCCAGAGTAATACCTAATATTTAATTTAAATTTTATATTAATTATTGTTAATATTTTTAAACTTTTTAAAAAGTGGAATAAAACAGGTATTTTCAAAAACAAAAATGATCTTAAAAATGCCATCCAAAATATTTAGCCTAATCTTATTTTTACAAAATTATACTAAAAGTCAGAAGACCCAATGACATTAATGTTTTTGAGAAAAGTTATTATCTTTCTTAAGATAAAAAATACCGAATAATCTAACGATATTATCATGGTTTAGATTCTTGAGAATACTAGCTTCTTTGTATATTCCAACACTATTATTTAAATCCTGTTTAACAGCCACATCAAATCTTCCTTTTAATCTCGCTTTCTTAACTATCCCAAACATCCCACTCCCTAAAACTTTTCCAATCTCTAAATCATTTTGGCAAAGTTCCCATTCCATTCTATTTATAGGCTTCTTTAAAACTATCTGATTTTCTTCTTTATTATTAATTTGTGATTCGATTAAATTTTGTAAAGTCGTATATCCTTGTTTATTAAAATCAAAGTAATATAAATTGTTCCTAACGAAAATTTCAATATTTGTTTCAATATTTTGTTGGATTGAAGATAATATGAGAATTTGTTTATCTTCTTTTTTTGACATACGAACAAGATAATCACCATTGTTGGTCAATAAATCAAATGCGTCAGATCGATCAATCTAAATGTTTTATTTACTTTTATTTTAAAGATCTTATAACTAACAAGGCCATGAAAGTATGGAACTTTCCATAACTGGCTGCTATTCATTGTGTAATAATTGGTAGAAGTAAGATTTAGAAATAATACGAATATCCAATAAGAATAAAGAATTTAATTTTTGTGAAAATTTTTTGCTTTCTAAAAAGAATAAAAATCGAATAATTAGATAAGTAGATGGAGAAAATAAAATACGAAATAAAATTTATTACGAAAGAACATGGAAAATAAACATAGAAACTCAAAAATTACAAATTATGAAACTTATGACATATAAAGTGTCAGTAAAATGAAGACTTTTATAGTAAATTAATTCAACGGAAAGGCTTTCAAACAATTAGGGGAAATGGCGCAAACCTCAACTTTAAATTTAAATTATTTATCCGCGCGGGAAGAGATTCCGCGCGGGAAGAGATTCCGCGCGGGATTTTCTGAGACCCCACTCCCGAAATCCCGCATCGTTTCAATTTGAGGGATTTTGCCGCGTGCGGGATTTTGCGGAATAATTCCATCGGAATTTACTACCGCATGTGGGGTCTCCAAAATATTTTAAAGTTTGAGGGATTTCGGATGATGCTGGCAAAATGATTTTAATTTTTGCAAAATTTTTGCAATTTATATTCTTCTTGTCTATCAAGCTAACAGGAAATAAAAAAACAATTGAAATATTTTCTTCTATGGTTCCAATAACAACAAAACAGTTTATTTTATTCAGATGTTATTTAAAAGAATTTATTTAAAAGAAACAACAAAACGAAGCAGTAATTTATTGATTGATTTATCTAAATTTTCACTTCCATTATCCAAAATATTTTGGTTTGTAACCTTTTAACTTAATTATATTGATTGATTCATCTAAATTTTCACTTCCATTATCCAAAATATTTTGGTTTATAACCTTTTAACTTAATTATATTGATTGATTCATCTAAATTTTCACTTGTATTATCCAAAATATTTTGGTTTATAACCTTTTAACTTAATTATATTGATTGATTCATCTAAATTTTCACTTCCATTATCCAAAATATTTTGGTTTATACCTTTTAACTTAATTATATTGATTGATTCATCTAAATTTTCACTTGTATTAACCAAAATATTTTGGTTTATAACCTTTTAACTTAATTATATTGATTGATTCATCTAAATTTTCACTTGTATTATCCAAAATATTTTGGTTTATAACCTTTTAACTTAATTATATTGATTGATTCATCTAAATTTTCACTTCCATTATCCAAAATATTTTGGTTTATAACCTTTTAACTTAATTATATTGATTGATTCATCTAAATTTTCACTTGTATTATACAAAATATTTTGGTTTATAACCTTTTAACTTAATTATATTGATTGATTCATCTAAATTTTCACTTCCATTATCAAAATATTTTGGTTTATAACCTTTTAACTTAATTATATTGATTGATTCATCTAAATTTTCACTTGTATTATCCAAAATATTTTGGTTTATAACCTTTTAACTTAATTATATTGATTGATTCATCTAAATTTTCACTTCCATTATCCAAAATATTTTGGTTTATAACCTTTTAACTTAATTATATTGATTGATTCATCTAAATTTTCACTTGTATTATCCAAAATATTTTGGTTTATAACCTTTTAACTTAATTATATTGATTGATTCATCTAAATTTTCACTTCCACTATCCAAAATATTTTGGTTTATAACCTTTTAACTTAATTATATTGATTGATTCATCTAAATTTTCACTTCCATTATCCAAAATATTTTGGTTTATAACCTTTTAAAAAAAAAGAAAAATACTCAAACCAAAACGGATGTCGATTGCGACCATGAATATGCTCTACAAAAGCCTGGGAGGAAATACTCGTTGGCGGATCAAGAAGTTGTACGCAGAAAATTTGCTCTGGCTTCAAAATTGTCCGAAGAAAAAAGAAAAGAAAAAACACTTGAATTTGAATGTGGAATACTCTTCTTGGAAATATGGCTCAGCACTATTAAAAACTGGAAAAATTCTAACGACTTTCAATTATCCTTGCAGAAAAGATTTAGAGAAATTGAATTACCTCCAATCTATTTGGTGGACAGGGAAATAATTGTTGCCGCTGATAATTCATTGGATTCAATCAACACTTGGTCTACAGACAGGAAATTAATTCACCACGCGCCATTTGATGGAACAAAACCTTTGCAATATATTTGCTTCGTTGGAGTAAAGGTGAAGGAATTACTAATAATCACTAATGCAGATGAAATATCACGAGCAATTGACAGAACCTTGGAATTCTTCTCAGATATGGAATTAAACATCCGGCCTACTCTTATTCTTGCCGAATCAAGCAACAAAAATAAACAAAGAAAAATGGCAACACACTTCCATAATTTGGCTGAAACTTAAGGCACTGGATTTTACAAATGGAACGTAAGTGCAAAAGAATTAAAGAAGATTAAAAAAACATAGGAAACTAAAACTAACAGCAAAGGAAAGATAAAAATTGTTCACAAACCAAATTCCGATCCTTTGCGAAATATAACTTGTGAGCTTTATCGGAAAGGAAAATCTCCACCCTCTCGAAAATCTGAAAAAGCTAGTGAGAAGCTTAGACGCTTCCAACACGCACATATGGAACATATTACAATGCCTTAAAATGCACAAGTATTTGCACAAGTATTATGCACAAGTGTGGCAACTTTTACACAACCAATCGGCAATTCACTTTTAATCCCAATTCAAAAAAAATGAATTTTTTACTGCAACGCAATACATGGGATTTAATGACAACAGAACGCCAAAAAAATTCATGTAACGGCATCATCTCGCCTAAAGAAAAAATTCAAAGAAAAAAACCTTTATAACCTTTTAACTTAATTATATTGATTTATTTATCTAAATTTTCACTTGTATTATCCAAAATATTTTGGTTTATAACCTTTTAACTTAATTATATTGATTAATTCATCTAAATTTTCACTTCCATTATCCAAAATATTTTGGTTTATAACCTTTTAACTTAATTATATTGATTGATTCATCTAAATTTTCACTTGTATTAACCAAAATATTTTGGTTTATAACCTTTTAACTTAATTATATTGATTGATTCATCTAAATTTTCACTTCCATTATTTTTTTTTTTTTCCTTTTTAATATTTTATGCAGCAATCACAGGTACAAATAAAAGTACACTGACAGTGATTGTAAACGATTATATTGATTGATTTTTTTTATCCAAAATATTTTGGTTTATAACCTTTTAACTTAATTATATTGATTGATTCATCTAAATTTTCACTTGTATTATCCAAAATATTTTGGTTTATAACCTTTTAACTTAATTATATTGATTGATTCATCTAAATTTTCACTTCCACTATCCAAAATATTTTGGTTTATAACCTTTTAACTTAATTATATTGATTGATTCATCTAAATTTTCACTTCCACTATCCAAAATATTTTGGTTTATAACCTTTTAACTTAATTATATTGATTGATTCATCTAAATTTTCACTTCCATTATCCAAAATATTTTGGTTTATAACCTTTTAAAAAAAAAGAAAAATACTCAAACCAAAACGGATGTCGATTGCGACCATGAATATGCTCTACAAAAGCCTGGGAGGAAATACTCGTTGGCGGATCAAGAAGTTGTACGCAGAAAATTTGCTCTGGCTTCAAAATTGTCCGAAGAAAAAAGAAAAGAAAAAACACTTGAATTTGAATGTGGAATACTCTTCTTGGAAATATGGCTCAGCACTATTAAAAACTGGAAAAATTCTAACGACTTTCAATTATCCTTGCAGAAAAGATTTAGAGAAATTGAATTACCTCCAATCTATTTGGTGGACAGGGAAATAATTGTTGCCGCTGATAATTCATTGGATTCAATCAACACTTGGTCTACAGACAGGAAATTAATTCACCACGCGCCATTTGATGGAACAAAACCTTTGCAATATATTTGCTTCGTTGGAGTAAAGGTGAAGGAATTACTAATAATCACTAATGCAGATGAAATATCACGAGCAATTGACAGAACCTTGGAATTCTTCTCAGATATGGAATTAAACATCCGGCCTACTCTTATTCTTGCCGAATCAAGCAACAAAAATAAACAAAGAAAAATGGCAACACACTTCCATAATTTGGCTGAAACTTAAGGCACTGGATTTTACAAATGGAACGTAAGTGCAAAAGAATTAAAGAAGATTAAAAAAACATAGGAAACTAAAACTAACAGCAAAGGAAAGATAAAAATTGTTCACAAACCAAATTCCGATCCTTTGCGAAATATAACTTGTGAGCTTTATCGGAAAGGAAAATCTCCACCCTCTCGAAAATCTGAAAAAGCTAGTGAGAAGCTTAGACGCTTCCAACACGCACATATGGAACATATTACAATGCCTTAAAATGCACAAGTATTTGCACAAGTATTATGCACAAGTGTGGCAACTTTTACACAACCAATCGGCAATTCACTTTTAATCCCAATTCAAAAAAAATGAATTTTTTACTGCAACGCAATACATGGGATTTAATGACAACAGAACGCCAAAAAAATTCATGTAACGGCATCATCTCGCCTAAAGAAAAAATTCAAAGAAAAAAACCTTTATAACCTTTTAACTTAATTATATTGATTTATTTATCTAAATTTTCACTTGTATTATCCAAAATATTTTGGTTTATAACCTTTTAACTTAATTATATTGATTAATTCATCTAAATTTTCACTTCCATTATCCAAAATATTTTGGTTTATAACCTTTTAACTTAATTATATTGATTGATTCATCTAAATTTTCACTTGTATTAACCAAAATATTTTGGTTTATAACCTTTTAACTTAATTATATTGATTGATTCATCTAAATTTTCACTTCCATTATTTTTTTTTTTTTTCCTTTTTAATATTTTATGCAGCAATCACAGGTACAAATAAAAGTACACTGACAGTGATTGTAAACGATTATATTGATTGATTTTTTTTATCCAAAATATTTTGGTTTATAACCTTTTAACTTAATTATATTGATTGATTCATCTAAATTTTCACTT